CCTGAGACCCCCAGTGATCCCCCCGAGACCCAGGATCCCAGGAACCACCCAGCGGTCCCAGGAGCTATCTGTCTGGTCATGGCTCCCAGCCGTGTTGGTGTGCAGTTGGATTTGTGTCCCAAGTCTCTGTGCATCCCTCTCTTTCAAACCAAATCTGAGGGGGAAATTGCATTATTCTGTGTAAATAACCACAGCAGAGTTTCGCTGTCTCTTATATCCCAGCTTTCCACCATGTTTTTCTGTTATTTGGTGTCCTCCGTTTGACTTTAATGCAAATGGCAACGATACAGGTTGGATGATGGGGATGTGATCGTTGAAATGCCTTAAGGACAGATGTTTACATGGGACCAGACTTTCTGCTCAAAGGAGAAAGCATGGCCAGCATCAGTTGGAAGGAAGGCAAGCTGGAGTGTTGGATGAGAGCCTGGGCTGGAGACTGGAGGAAGAATAGAAGTGTCAGGGCTGGGACTGCTGTGAAGCTGGGAAAGGGACAAGAACGGGGGGGAGAAGGCTGAGAGAGCTGGGGGTGCTCAGCCTGGAGAAGAGAGGACTCTGGGGAGATCTCAGAGCCCCTTCCACTGCCTAAAGGGGCTCCAAGAGAGCTGGAGAGTGACTTGGGAAAAGGGCTGGAGTGACAGGACAAGGGGGAATGGCTTCCTACTGGGTTACCTGGGATATTGGGAAATTGGAAAAAAAGAAAAAAATAAAAAAAAATTGGGAAAAAAGAATTCTTCCCTCTGTGGATGAGACCCTGGCACAGGTTGCCAAGAGAAACTGTGGCTGCCCCATCCCTGGAAGTGTCCAAAGCCAGGTTGGACAAAATTTGAAGCAACCTGGTCTAGCAGAAGATGTCCCAGCACATGGCAAGAGATTGGAAGCAAGTGATCTTTTAAAGTCCTTTCCAACCCAGACCATTCTGGGGTTCTGTGAAGAAGTGGAGCTCCGGTGTGAGTGACCTGCAGGAGGAAGAGATGTCTCGGGATGGTGAGTGGTCAAGGCTGGGAGAGGGAGGCTGCACCAAGCAGCCTCAATTTGCTTCAGTGAAGTGCTGCCCCTGTGCTCAAACCCCTGTAACCACACAAAGCATCACAGCACGGATAATACCAGCCACAGTTGAGAGCTTTTATTCCTGGTTTGGCTTAGACAAAGCGCGTGATTTAATTTTTAATTTGAAATAGGCCTCCCTGCTCAATGGTTATAGGCTGAGGAAGACTGGGAAGGCAATTTTCTTTTTTAAACCAATTTCCTTCTGAAAACAAACAGAGGCTATTTATACATCTAATGAGAATGCTGGCAACCATTTAAATGGGAGTATTGGCTGCTTGCTCTAAATATAGCAGATGCAATCGCTCACTTTGTTCCTACTGTCAGGAATAGATCCTTGTTCGGTAACTGATGCTGGAATGTGCAAAGGAGCCTGGGGGAGCCCAGGTTCCGCTGAGCAGATCCCTGTGGGAAGGCTGGTGGTATTTATGGCCCTTGACTGAGCCAAGCAGGAGACACAGGATGCTGTGTCCTTCAGATGGGGCTGAGCCAAGAGGTTCATTTCTGTCTCTTTTTAAGGGCTGTTTCTAAAGCAAGAGTTGATTCAGGCTCTGTGGGGAACATTTCCCTCAGTACTGTGCTGGTTTTAATTCTCCCCTTGGCTTTCTGGAGGAGGGCAGCAATAATTGCTGGGCTGCTGGATGCCTGCCTCTGATGGTTGAGTCAGGCAGTTGTTCCAGCAGGTGACAACATGCAGATACCATTCAGTAACTAAAGTGCTGTCAATCAGCGTTTCTTTTTGCCTTTCCATTTCCATTTGGAGTCTGGTGTTCCCAAAGTGCTGGAACACAGTCTTATCTAGTTGGTGTGTCCCTGCCTCTTGCCTTCTCTTCTTTGTAGGAACAGTTCCTCCAGCTCCCCCAGGTGACCCACCTCTGTCCTTTGGGGCTTGTTGTGTCTCATGGCAAGTCCAGGGGACAGCAAAGGTGTTTCACAGTCTGGTTAAAGTTCGAAAGGCTCCTCCACCACTGGAGATGCTGCTGAATTGGTCAGATGAGACCGTGGTGTCAGCCTGCGCCAGGGCACAGTAGAGCTGGGGTCTGTAGCCTGACAGTGTGTTTATATCCCTGGTGAGGGCTGCAGGGAGAGGTGAGAGCAACTGACAGGTCTGACAGGGAAGAGAAGATTTTTGGTGTTGTGGGTGTGCAGACAGTGTTGACCTCAGGTGAGAGGCAGTGCTGCTGCACCCAAATATTCACCTGTCTTTATGGAACTCCAAGCTGTGAGACCTTTGTCCCAAGGGGGTAACTTTGGTGACCTTTTTTATTTCCTTGTAGTGCGGTTCCTTCCAAATCCTTTGGCAGTTGTGTTGAGGTCTCCATCTCGGATGGG